AGACGTTATGCACGGTAGGCTCCTCTCTTACGGACACGGCCACAGGTCCTGTGGAAGTGGTGCTTGCTAGCTTTGGGCGTTGATCTTGTTCGGGCGCACTTCCTTTGATTAGCATTATTCTGCTGGTGCTTTCCCATGGAAACTCTTGCGTGTTTGTATTGAGCGTGCCAGGTGTCAAAGAGTGGTTGCCCAAAACCACCAGGGACGAGCACTACGAGTGCCCGGCTTTGTCGAGAGTCGTCAGCGAGGTCGCGAGCATGGAGCGGCGTGCTTCTAGGAAATGAATGTGCAGCAACCCATTGTGCAGTAATTACTTCAGTATGGCCTTTGCCGCGGCCAGAGCCAAGCACCATCCAAGCACCTTTGCACCATGGTTGCTACACTTTGCCAGTGTTTGTTTGCAATTGCCAAGGTGCAATTACATCTACAAGGGCTCCCACGTGCTGGCCACTATGGTGATTTTGCAGGCTACAAGCGTCTAGTGCAAGGGGTGGTTTTTGAAGGGAGGAAGTGTGGTTACCGATAGTTGTAACGCAGCCTTTCCGTTCCGTTGCTTGGAACTGGGACAGGCGTGGTTCAGCGGTTTGCGGTATTGAGCTGCGTGTGAGATGTGAATCCTGCCTTCTGAAACGCCCAGCCGCCATGCCAGGGCCCGGGGCTTCACACTTTTCGGCAATTTTCCGGACCCCGATATGGTCTTAAGTCAACTTTTCTTGAGTGACTTCACGTAGGGCGGTGCTTGCAGAAAACATGGTTTCAGTGAGTGGGTGTGATGTGCTGCCAGGGCCAGTTCCCTGATTTGAACGCAGAGCTTGGCGAGGCAGACAAGCTCAAGGCCTTCTAGTTGCCTGCGTAAAATATCGGGGGCGAGCAACGTTCATGGCAAATCTGCAGGGTTTGTATTCCAGGCGTATAAGCACATGAAGTCGCATCCTCTGGAGAAGCACTTGTCAGAGTGCCTGGCGGAGTGGAAGATGTACATCAAGATGATGAAGGCCAACCGCTGGTTGGATGGTTTTGTTGAGATGCACTGGCGGGGCAGCGAGTTGCAGCACTGGGAATAATAAACAGGTCGACGGAAGGCGCAACTTAACTGCTGCAACAGTAAGCGGTCACCATGGATCGATTTCCCCAACGGGTTCTTGGATCCAGCCGCTCCCTGCAGCCAAGCTTGAAGAGATTGCTTCCGCAAGCAATAGCGGAAGTGTGGACTCTGGCGATGGATCTGCCAGGATCACGGGCAGATTCCAGCTGACGCGGAGGAGATCGAATATCCTTACACCAAGGCGGGGCCTTGACCTCAACAAATGATTTTCGCAAAAGGGCTGCATGGCAATGGTGCTCACAAATCCGTTTCATGTTGGGCCGCGAAGGCTAGCAGCAAGCAACCTTGCCTTCCTTATGAACAATGCACCTGATATGGTTCAGTCCTTTCCTAGCCACCCACAAAATCTCAGAATTGGGGGGCAAGATTTTGTAGGCGGACGTGTCATGTTGTTTTCCCCTCAGTCGTCAGGAGAACGTCGAGGCAATTCAGAAGTCAGCAGAGGACCAAATAAGGGCCGACTACGAGAAGATGGTGGCAAAGATGAAGGCCAAGGCAGGCCTGGGGGGTTGGGGATGGTCGGAGCGTTTGAGCATGGTGCAATGGTGCCGAGCTCGCCATGGCTTGATTGCCAAGGTGTCCGTCGCGCATTTCTCCGGTTCCTTTTGTGTTTTATTTTTTGCCGCAAGGGGCCGCTGCAGTTGATGTTGGGATGGATCATTGCAAGCCTGGGCACCCTGATGGCAAGGCGAGCTGGTAGTTTCAGACCGTTTTTGACCGATCCTTTCAGTACACTCCGGAAACATGTTGCATGGCACTCTGGTGCCAAAATCCTCTTTCATTTCAAAGATGCGTTTCATATGTGTGTCATATACTAATGGTGTTGCCTTTTTGTTTCTTCTTCTTCTTTGGGTTTGGACCGCCCGAAATTGTGGTGCAGAAACGTAATAGGAACCAACTCAAAGCGACGCAGCCATATGCCGTGAAGAACGCCGATCCAACAGATCAACTTGTTTGCCGGCTCGAGCGTTCGGCTCAGGCGGCCAAGTGAGCTGCCGGCTCCGCTCAGCTGTTTCCACTTGTGTTGCCTGGCTGCAGCATGGAAGGGGCGGCCATGTCTTTTTTTTGGGCGGAGTCCTTTTACCTTATAATTGCCAGACTCAACACCGTTTTGTGTTTTCTTCATTTTCCCTTTTGAGCAACAAACAGTTAACTTGCGGGGCTCCAAGTTACGGTGTTTGCGTGCATCCTCCTTGGATGGTTGTATGCCCATTTGCGGCGCAAGAAGTTGTCCACAGGTCCCCGACCCAGGAGAGATGGAGGCTCTCCAAGGGGGAGACAAGCGTTTGTTGGTATGCGATGCATTTTCCGAGTGATTGTCCATTCGAACGTGAGGAGTATGTCCTGGATTGGTTTGGCACTAGAGGATGTTCAAGGCGACAGCTTTTACATGCACGGTTCGCTTGTGAGGAGATGGAGGCACAGCTGGGCTTGCAGACAGCCCACCCAGGGTCGTGCACCCTGTGATTGCGGCTGAGAATTTCCGAGATAGTTTTTGGCGCTCAGTTTGCGTTGGCCTGGTTAGGCTGGCCTTTCCAGATGCATGGTCGGTTTACGGCTGGCTTGCCCTGAAGTGGGCACAGGCAAGATGGAAGATATGATTAAAAACGAAACTTATCCTCTCAGCTTGGTCAAAAAGGGGGCAGCTATACATTGCCAAGAATACGCCTGCTGACACTGCTGCAGGGCGAACTTCCAAATTACTGCTGCCAGGCCCATTTCCCAGCTCGGTTTACTGCGAACAATCCAACGTCAGAGAGTTGCTTGATGAAGCTAGACTGCAACCAACCACAGGTATCAAAAGTCAATCCAACTGCGGGGCCTCAAGAATGCTCCTGGCCGATGCGACGGCGACGAATCTCAGACGAGCAAGCATGGATTCCCTTCATCCAGGGCACTCTGATTCTTTGAGGGGCCATTTTTTGGCGAGAACAAATCATTTGAAACCCCAAGATTCAACTACATGGCCAATGGCACCTGGACATGCGCAGCTGTCCTGGTCCCGGCCACTGAAACTGGGGAGCCTCAAGCTTCGGCTTTGTTACAGCCGCGAGTGTCAATGCTTTTTGTTTGTCGAAAGAGTCTGCATAGGCGGGAGAGGGGGTGGGGTGGGGGGAGTTCGGGGGGAGCTGTCAAAAAAGCGGGAGGGGGGTGGGGGGGGGGGGTCGCTTCAAATCTAACAACCCAAACCTGCCGGGTTGGGAAAGCAAACGAACTCACAACCTTTCCAACAAATACCTTGCCGCTGGCCAGCCGCTTGCACGTTCCCTGGTTGGGAGAGGCCGTCAGGTGCCTCACCCTAGGGCCAAACTGTTTGGCGTGCCCGTGAGGGTAGAAACACGATGGGGGTGTGTGTCAAAAAATGGACTACGAAAATACGTGGTTTCCTTGTGGCTTTCCTGCGAAATCAAGCCCAAAACAGATGCCCCCCAAAAAGCACACCCGTAGGCACCCACAGGGAAGGAAGCAGAGCAACAGAGCTATAGGCTATAGGCCTGTCCTGGACTCAGTGACCCGTAGCCAGACAATGGCAGCATTTCCGGCCAGGCCAATTCTAAACCCCTCAGCAAGAGATTTTCCTGCCGCTTTTCGAGGGTTTCCCCTTCAGAGCCAATGCTACATCATTCCAAAACCACTCGAAACCGATTAAATTTGTGTGAATTCTCATCGCATCCTGGAGATTGTTTTGCTTTCGCAATCGTGCCACAGAACTAGGCCTAAACATTTCCAACTCAAACCGGCAACCAGGGCCCGGGCACAGTTATTATGGGGCACACTCGCGTGTTGCTATCCTGGCGACCCGCTCGGCGACTCCATCAGCTTGGAGGCTGGACCTCCTAGCTGATTGTGCCTCGTGCGAGCATCAGCAGCCTAGGCGCTTAGCTGACCAGTAGGGCGAGCTTCTGCTAGACTTGCCAGGGTCGAATTCCATCAGAGAACAAAACAAGTTCATTTTTGGGAGGATCAAGGCGAGGGGCTCTGAGGCCGGAAAGATCTGATTGCTTGCACGCATGTCGGTGCAAAAAGTAGACAGCGTGTGCTATTGGGGAGGGGGGCGCGGGTCAGGCTCGACCAAGTGCACTTGCAAACGCATAAAAGATCGGGCCTGCCGATGTGAAGGAACATCTTCTAGCTTCCCCGACCAGTTGCTGCCAATGATCACTATTTTGCTTGAGGCTCTCACGCCAGATCAGCGAGTTAGGCTGGTTCTTCCAGGTGTGCTCAGATGTGGCTGGCAAATACAGATGTCAAGACCAAGTTTTGCGAAGCTCGAGCTAGCTGCTTGCTGACATGTCCTTACACTGACGCATGTATTTCCCGTGCGTGCGTGCGTGCGTGCGTGCGTGCGTGCGTGCGTGCGTGCGTGCGTGCGTGCGTGCGTGCGTGCGTGCGTGCGTGTGTGTGTGTGTGTGTGTGGGTGTGTGTGTGTGTGTGTGTGTGTGTGTGTTATGAGTGTGTTATGAGTGTGTTATGAGTCGTCAAGGAGGCTGCAAATGCAGCCTGGCCCGTGACACAACGAGATTTCATGTTTTCATTGTAGCTTTGCTGTATCAACTGTGGGAGCAATGCGGGTGCTTCAAACATGGGGCATGCGATTTTGTTTGGTCACCCCTAGCGCATGGCACAGTTGCAAGATATAAATATATTCCAACTAAAGCCGCGCGTTGAGATATGTCTTAGCAGCCTAAGGCACAAGACCATGGGACATGCTGGGAGACACTCCTTGAGATCATTCGACCATGGTTGGCATCCTCATTAGGCAATCGGAGCATCTGCTTATTTGATGGGTTCTCGAAATGGTGGACCTTCTTTTAGTTGGTATTTAAAGGGAAGCCCAAAAGGAAACTCACCTCTTTTAGAAAGGCCACTATGTTGCGACACAGCCTCGCCTAAGGTACCGCCGCCAGGCGATGCTCAAGGACGTCGCACTGGCAAAGCTTCTTCGGCTGCCAGGGCCTTGAGCAAGGAGCTCGAAGGCCAATCTTGCTGGTGCTCAGGGAATGAGGGAATGACCCCTTTCAACCATCCGCTATGGTTTTTTTTAAGGGAATACTCAGGTTCATTCCCTCATTCACTGCTGAGCACCAGCAAGTAATGTGGCTGTGGCTTTGGGACCCTGGGAACCCAAGTCAATTGGCTTGTCAACTTGTGCGAGCTACGAACCTGCTGACCGATCAGACCCGTCACGTACGTGGCTGCCTGAGCCGGATGCTGCAAAGCATTGGAACCAGCAGACCTACACAACCAATAAACCCTCACACGGGTTGTTCACACATACATGGGGGTACGTGATGTGTATCAAACCCATACATGCAAACATTATATTCATCCATGCGGACGTACCTACCTACGTACATGCTTGTTTGTTTGTTGGGGGCATCCGGTTTTCATCAGTGTTCTTCAACCAGCTGATTCTGGATTCTCTTAAAACTGAAGAACCGAGGGGGGGGGGGCATACTTGTTAGCCACATATAGCTACCTGGTTCGGCTTTGTGCTCGCACTTTGCTGATGCAATGGCACCCCCCTGCACAACTATCCCTTTCCCTGTTCATTTGCTCAAGCACAACCCTCTCAGCACACAAAGTGGAAAGAATCAATATATTGTGTCAATTAGCGGCCGCTGGCTCTATGGTACCTAAATTTGGCAATCGCGCTGTCAAAGCGACCTCGATGTTCTGCAATTTTAGCGCGTCCCCGAGAAGACATGAGCGCTTCAATGGCGAAAGTCAAAGGGTCCACAGCACACAATAGACGTCAACCTTCCCTTCAGTTGGGCTCTCCAAATTGTTTGCGTTTGCAAATCCCAAGCGCGTCAACACCTGAATTATAGCATTTGTGTAGTTGGAGTTGTGCTTTTGAAACATCAGAGAACTTCCGTGGCATCCAGCTCACTGGAGTCATGGGCCAACTCCTGGGTCCATTTAATACCTTCTCAGATATTGCGCAAGTGTGCACGCCGAATCGTAACCATTTTGGGACGGCAACGCAAACCGTTCAAACAAATATGACAACAGGATTGTGCATGTTGTCCGGCTAGCGCATGCTGCAGGCAAAGTAGAAATATATTGGACGAAGATATTTGATGCCAGGCTTCCAAGGGCTGACACTGGCACTTAGAGTCACTTGCCATGGCCGCATCACAAGTTGTCAAATGTTTCACATGCGTTTCACCAGCTTCTCAGAAGCTCATGCGAGGCCTGAGCGGCAAGTCCGCCAGCTTTTGGAGCGGAGGCGGGGGAGCTGGAGAGACAACGGGCTGGTGACGCCACATTGGTGTTGCCAAATTGGGCACCGAAAATCAATTTATCAATAGGAGGTGCTGGGTGTCACATGGTGCCGTTGCTCCACTCACGGTCGCGCACACACGCACACACAGACACTCCCAGTCGCGTAGTCATCAAACCCCGAATCCAGTGGCTAGCTTCCCACGAGTTCATGGGCCTTACATACCCAGGTCGGTATGGTGCAGAAGTCCCACATTATTCCTCGTAGAATGAGAGGGAACGACTCAGGGGCAGGAGCCTGCTAACATAGCCCAGCTGAGGCTGATGACGGCACAGTGTCCTGTTGGAAAAAAAACAGTTCCGTAAAATTGCGATACTGTGATCCAGGGTCTCCAAGAACATGATGAAGTTCTATTTGTGGAGGGATGGTAGAAGCACAGGCTTGCTTTGTGCCATAGCCTGCTGCGATTCGCAGAAAGCAGAAAGCACGCAATCATGCTATTGCCCGTGGCTTCATCCTCAGCACGTGCCAAATCTTTGCTAAGGCGGTTCCCTCGTCTATTTCTCGGATTCAGCCAGGCACCACTTTCCGCGTAGATGATCATATTTGTATTTGTTGATCAGACTTGGCCGCCATTCGGCTTTTCATGATCTTTGACATTTGTGGGGCATTGCAGCCCGCACCTCTGCGTTCCACCCCTCCCAGCCTGGCATGCGCGCACCAGGCTGGTGCCTGACTGCATTGTTGACAAGCAGTCTGAGGGAACAGGCCTGCCGTGTGGTTTGTAGCCCGTTGAGTCGAAGTGAGGAGAGGCTGGAAGGCCTTGCAAGCCTGTGGCTTTGCATTCAGCTTTTTGTTGACTTTAACAGGTTTTTTCTAGAACAGCTCAGCTGTCAGTTGAACAACCCGGCAAACCCGTTTCGCGTACGCTTACCTCAGCAAAACTTGGCTGACACATCGGCAGACACGGGCAGAGATCCCAAGGCCAATTTGATTCTTGACAGTCAATTATGCTTTTACTCAATCCTGCACCCATGCCAGGAGAGAAGTTGCAGACCTTTTACCGCATCTCGCCGATCGCAGTTCCTGTTGCATCCAAAAGGCTGCTGGGCTTATTCTTGACAGTTGCGAATCAGAGTCTACTTTCTTAAAAGTGGGATTGTGTGAACGAGTGAGGGAGTGGGTGAGTGAGTGAATGATTGAGCGAGTGAGAGAGGGAGGGAGTGAGTGAGTGCGGGGGTGTGTGGGGTGCCCGGAGTGTGCGGTGTGCACGGAGTGTGCGTGGCGTGCGGGGTGCACGGCGCGCACCCCGCGCGGGGGGTGGGGTTGGTGAGGTGGGGTGGGGTGGGGTGGGGTTGGGTCCGGGGTGGGGTTTGAGGTGGGGTTCTGGGTGGGGGGGTGGGGTGTGTGTGTGTGGCAACTCTCATTTAGGCTGCGTCATCTACGTTGTGTTTATGTACAAGTTCCAGGTTCCAGACCTACTCTGATCCTGCTAACAGGCTTGATGCAGGGTGGAAACAGCGAAGTGCTTGTTTCATATGGAATGGCTGCGGGGCGCGTGCAGAGCTTGTTTTATTAACTGTTCAAATCTTTTAAATAGCAGCGTGCACCGGGGAATGGCATGCTGCCAAAGAGTGGAACACTAGTTGCCAAATTCCCTGCCAGTCGTGTGGGGTGTTGCCAATCTGCGAGGTTGCAGATGCTGGATATGTCCCTGGCTGCCACAGAGGAGGAGCGGCAGCCTGGCAGAAACTTTGGCCTTAGGATGGCCTGTTTCTGGACACAGCGGGCTTGTGCTTTTGCACAGGCTGAGATGAAAAGGTATTCCGAAGAAGCTTCTATTCTGGTGATACCCGGACACGGGCACAGGTTGGGAGAGATTCGCCGAACCTTGCCCAGGTACCGCTGCGACAGGCAGCGCCACCTGGGGGGGTGGGGGATGGGCGCTTAGGGAGGGGTCTTTGTTTAGTGCGGGCAGCAGTTCTTACAGAGAACATGGTGCGCGCGCCTGCAATCAGTGGCGGAGCAACTTTTGATGTTGTCGCGTTCAGTCTCCAGCGCAAGCAACCACGTGAAAGAAACATGTGACTTCATGGGATGTTTAGTAAGATAGATGTTTGGCAAATGTTGCCTGTGTGGTCTGACGTTGGCACATTCGGCCAGGTGCAAGCAAACTGTGGATGCGCTGAAGGCACGGCGGGCAACATGACCAGCAAGGGAGGTGTGGTTGTTATTGGCGTGGCTGACACCTGCTTGCCCCAGCTTCTCAAATTGGCAAGTGGGCGGTTAAACAAGTGCCAGCAATAATCACGCTGCTGTAGGCCTGCGGAGAGCCCAGGAAACCAATCAGCATGGCACTTGTAAACACGATGCAGGATGCTGCTCAGTCGATTGCAAGCGTCCGCCGCTTTCAACTGCTGACGGCTAGCAGCCTGACCAGCGTACTTTCTGCATGACTGTTTCGCCCCCAAGGAAACGTGCAAAAGGTTGTTCCTTTCACAGGGGCCAGTCATGCAGGAAGTCAGCAGGCACATCAGCTGTTGAAAGCGGCGCAAACCTGCAATCCAAGACTGGTACTCGTAGCATCCCGCATGGTAATATATTGTTTGTTCTGCTCTTTGTCAGCCATCAGCCTCAGTGTTTTGTTTCATGTTGCCTCTTCGTCAACCTTTGCAACGTGCTTCGCTTTGCCACTTTGCCAAGCAGCATTCAGATTGCCAGGGGCGTGGCAGACAGATCCTGCTCCTAAAGAGAAACAACAGCTGCCAATTGTTGGGCAGCTCTTGCCCAGTCAGACTGGATGCCTTCCGTTGAGAGTAAGGCATCTTCAAGGGACAAAGCAGGTGGTTTTACTCTCCTGTTTCGCATTCAGCTGAATCCCGGCTGGAGGCCTGCAAGCATCAGGATTGACAGCACATGCTTGATCTTACGGAACGGGGTGTGCAAGCAGTCACCCTTTCCGGGATTGCAAGGCCACGTGTTCGTTCCGTGATTGGCAGCGTAAAATGGTCCATGCAACATACTGAGTAGCTAGTTGAGGATTTGACGTGCCACCGTTTTGCTTGTGCCACCCAAGCAGGCACTCTACTACCCAGGCTGCCTTGCCAACTGCAGGCCATGTCCATGTCCTTTACCTGCGACTGCGGACAGGCGGAGCTGGCGCATTGGAGGTAGGCTTCTAGACTAGTAGCAAATTGCAAAATCAAGCAATTGGGGGAGTGGACGTGTTCCTGACCTCAGCATGGCTTCATTGAGCAAGGCTCCCAATCCTTTGCTTGCATCCTAAGGCAACGTTTACGCGTTGGTGCCTAGGAAGTTCAGCGCGTGCTGCCAGCAATGTCCTTGTCATGCAGGCTTTGTCTCGGCTCAAGTCACGGCGTAGAAAGTGCTTCTGCAGGCGCGAGTCTTGCCAATCCAGAGCTCGGATCTGGCGTTGCTTTGTTCCGACACGAGGGCTGAGGCAAGATATGCGTAGAATCCGGCGATTTATTGGATCCAACAAAATGCTAAATAAGGAGCACATACATATATATATATATACATATTAAGCAACAAACAATGGCAGGACAAGGCAAGATTTGACCCGAGGAACCCTTCCTCAGCCTTTTTCACGTACCATGGGGATGCTTGGCAGATACCTCTCGCTGTGAACTCAGGAACCATGAAGATCCCCTTTGCCTTTGCATTCGCCGCGGTTGGTGCCGACCTGAGCGACCAGCTTTTGAATCTGCATGGCCTCCCGCAGGTGCAAGGTGTCAGGTGTTAGCAAACCTATTCGACAGGGACAGGCAGCTTGGTTTGTCAGGTTGTTGGCAGAAACCACCACGGCTCCGCGGGAGGTGCCAAAGCTGAGAGCGCGGGTGACAGCTTTGTCCACCTTTTTGAGTGGCCGGGAGCTGAGGTTAAGGGCTGCCACAACATGTTTCGATTGCTTGGGATGGCACGCCAGCAAATGTAGCACCGCCATGTCCACGTTCTAGAGACTGGGTGGCCTTTTGAAAACCGGGGTTCCTTATCGAACGGACGGCATCTGAGGTCTTGGAAAGACGTCGGCGAAGAGTGCGAAACATTTCTCGGCCCGAAGGCCGGCGGCTAGAGTCTGAGGCAGTCCTGATGTTGTGGGAAGGGCAACTTTCTCCCTGAACCAGCAAGGGCTAGGCTAATTAGGCGCGAAGCCGGAAGGGGCCCTGCCAATGACTTTATTGCGCAGTCGGCAGAGAAAGGGATTTCATTCTATGCAAGAGCGGTTCCAGACTTTAGCTACCTTCCGACCTGAAGCGCGCTAATCGCATCACTACAGCCTGGGAAGAGCTCGTGAGATCATGCGTGCCACAAAAAAGGGCCTTGTTTGAACAAAAGGCCATGTTTTTTTCAAGAACCAGCTGCTGAGAAGTGGTTAATGTTGGACCCTCTTTAGACGGACCCCCCCTAAAACAGTGGAACCAGTCAGCTGGACTCTCTTTAGTGAATATCCTGGGGATCTGGGAGGGACAGCACTTACTTTAGCATTGCCAATTCTACTTTAGAATTGCCAAGGACCGTTTTTTCAGCAACCCCCCAAAAAACAATTGGACACTAAAGAGGAGCCCAAAACAGTCACGTTGAACAGGATCAGGTGCTCTTGTGAGCACCCCCTTTGTGTGACTGTTTGCCCGTACTTGTTTTTGTCAGTAAGTTATCTTAAATTTGATGGTTTGGGGACCAACTCAAGAAACGGATCCCCTACTGTTTGCCCGGAGTTGTTCGCCTGAGCCCGAGCGCATCCAGAAAGTGAAAAAAAAGCTCTGTTCTGTTGGATGTTTTTCCCGAAAGCATCGCGAAGGGTTCTTCCGTGCGGAGCCCTTGGACAAGTTACACAGAGCCAAGTTACATAGAGCCAAGTTACATAGAGCCAAGATACATAGAGCCAAGTTACATAGAGCCAAGTTACAATAGAGCCAAGTTACAATAGAGCCAAGTTACATAGAGCCAAGTTACATAGAGCCAAGTTACATAGAGCCAAGTTACATAGAGCCAAGTTACATAGAGCCAAGTTACATAGAGCCAAGTTACATAGAGCCAAGTTACATAGAGCCAAGTTACATAGAGCCAAGTTACATAGAGCCAAGTTACATAGAGCCAAGTTACATAGAGCCAAGTTACATTACATAGAGCCAAGTTACATAGAGCCAAGTTACATAGAGCCAAGTTACATAGAGCCAAGTTACATAGAGCCAAGTTACATAGAGCCAAGTTACATAGAGCCAAGTTACATAGAGCCAAGTTACATAGAGCCAAGTTACATAGAGCCAAGTTACATAGAGCCAAGTTACATAGAGCCAAGTTACATAGAGCCAAGTTACATAGAGCCAAGTTACATAGAGCCAAGTTACATAGAGCCAAGTTACATAGAGCCAAGTTACATAGAGCCAAGTTACATAGAGCAAGAGAGCCAAGTGACACAGAGCCAGGTGGCACAGAGCCAAGGTAGGTAGAGCTTGCGTAGAGCTTCGGCGTTAGCAGCTATGTAAGTTAGTTTAGGTTTCTAAGGCGCCGGGGCGGGAGTTTGATCGTCGCTCGGGATTGCGACCCTCTGCGGAGATCCGCGTGGTCGAGGTTCAAAAGCTGAGGACTTTTTACGATCTGCGGTCCGCGCGCGACCCTCTGCGGAGATTCGCGTGGTCGAGGTTCAAAAACTGAGGACTTTTTGCGATTTTTAGCATGCGCGCGCGACCCTCTGCGGAGATTCGCGTGGTCGAGGTTAAAAAACTGAGAAACTTTTTACGATTTCTGCGGCGCGCGCGCGACCCTCTGCAGAGATTCGCGTGGTCGAGGTTCAAAAACTGAGGACTTTTTATACGATTTCTGCAAGCCGCGCGCGACCCTCTGCGGAGATTCGCGTGGTCGAGGTTCAAGAACTGAGGACTTTTTACGATTTCTGCAAGCCGCGCGCAACCCTCTGCGGGGATCGTGGGTGTCGAAGCGCTCTTGTGGCGCCGTGCGTATTTGTTGCTGGCGAAATGGCCTTTGGAAGTTGTCTCGTGGCTCGCGCGCCTGCTTTCGCAATCCCGCGGTCGCGGGTTCGATTCCCCCCTGGTCCGCGGCAGCTCCGGCTTGAAAATCGCAGTTTCTAAGTACAAACGTAGTACGCGGAGCGTGCTCCTGCAGCTCCGGCTGGAAAATCGCAACTTTTGTGGAGCGTGCTCCCGCAGCTCCGGATTGAAAATCGCCACTTTTAAGTACAGACGTAGAATGCGGAGCGTGCTCCCGCGCAACTTTTAAGTACAAACGTAGTACGCGGAGCACACCCCCGCAGCTCCGGCTGGAAAATCGCAACTTGTAAGTACAAAAATAGTATGCGAAGTACATTCCCACAGCTCCGGCAGCACTTGCGCAGAGCAGCGCAACTTGCACAGAGCAATTGCACAAAGCACTTGCGCAGAGCAACTTGCACAGACCAACTTGCACAGAGCACATGCGCAAAGCGCTTGCACGGAGCAACTGGCGCAGAGCACTTGCGCAGAGCAACTTGCTCAGAGCACTTGCGCAGAGCAACTTGCACAGAGCACATGCGCAAAGCGCTTGCACGGAGCAACTGGCGCAGAGCAACTTGCACAGACCAACTTGCACAGAGCACATGCGCAGAGCGCTTGCGCGGAGCAACTGGCGCAGAGCACTTGTGCAGAGGAACTTGCTCAGAGCACTTGCGCAGAGCAACTTGCACAGAGCACTTGCGTGCAGCAGCTTGCAGAGAGCAACTTGCGCGCAGCAGCCTGGAACAATGCAGCTTGCGCAGACCACTTTCGTGAGAAATCGTGCAGCGCAACTTGAGCAAAGCACATTGCGCTGAGCAGACTTGCACAGAGCCACGCTTCACAGAGCCAAGTTGCGCAGAGCCACTCGCGTAAAGTAGCTGGCGCGCGCCAGGTAGCAGCGCGCCAAGTTGCGCAGAGCCATCTTGCGCAGAGCTAAGTTACACGAGCCTGCTTTGCAGAAACATACGCTTTCACGACATAGCGATTTTTGTGTCTGACTCGGGCAGGGGCCGGTTGCTATTGGCTTGTTTTCCCGAAAGCATCGCCAAGTTACATATAGCCAAGTTACATAGAGCCAAGTTACATAGAGCCAAGTTACATAGAGCCAAGTTACATAGAGCCAAGTTACATAGAGCCAAGTTACATAGAGCCAAGTTACATAGAGCCAAGTTACATAGAGCCAAGTTACATAGAGCCAAGTTACATAGAGCCAAGTTACATAGAGCCAAGTTACATAGAGCCAAGTTACATAGAGCCAAGTTACATAGAGCCAAGTTACACATAGCCAAGTTACATAGAGCCAAGTTACATAGAGCCAAGTTACATAGAGCCAAGTTACATAGAGCCAAGTTACATAGAGCCAAGTTACATAGAGCCAAGTTACATAGAGCCAAGTTACATAGAGCCAAGTTACATAGAGCCAAGTTACATAGAGCCAAGTTACATAGAGCCAAGTTACATAGAGCCAAGTTACATAGAGCCAAGTTACATAGAGCCAAGTTACATAGAGCCAAGTTACATAGAGCCAGTTACATAGAGCCAAGTTACATAGAGCCAAGTTACATAGAGCCAAGTTACATAGAGCCAAGTTACATAGAGCCAAGTTCCACAGAGCCAAGTTGCACAGAGCCAAGTTGAACAGAGCCAAGTTACATAGATCCAAGTTACATAGAGCCAAGTTGCGTAGAGCCAAGTGGCACAGCACAGAGCCAGGTGGCACAGAGCCAAGAGCTTGCGTAGAGCTTCGGCGTTAGCAGCTATGTAAGTTAGTTTAGGTTTCCAAGGCGCCGGGGCGGGAGTTTGATCGTCGCTCGGGATTGCGAAAAACTGAGGACTTTTTAAGATTTCTGCTGGCCGCGCGCGACCCTCTGCGGAGATTCGCGTGGTCGAGGTTCAAAAACTGGGGACTTTTTTACGATTTTTAGCATGCGCGCGCGACCCTCTGCGGAGATTCACGTGGTCGAGGTTAAAAAACTGAGGACTTTTTACGATTTCTGCAAGCCGCGCGCGACCCTCTGCGGAGATTCGCGTGGTCGAGGTTCAAAAACTGAGGACTTTTTACGATTTCTGCGGTCCGCGCGCGACCCTCTGCGGAGATCGTTCGCGTCGAAGCGCTCTCGCTGTGGCGCCGTGCAAATTTGTCTTAGTCTCGGCGAACCCTCTGCGGAGATTGTGCGTGTCGCAGCGCTCTCGCTGTGGCGCCGTGCAATATTCTTGCTCGCGAAACGGCCTTTGGAAGTTGTCTCGTGGTTTGCGCGCCAGCTTTCGCAATCCCGCGGTCGCGGGTTCGATTCCCCCCCTGGTCCGCGGCAGCTCCGGCTTGAAAATCGCAGCAGCAGCCAGCAGCAGCCAGCAGCAGCAGCAGCAGCCAGCAGCAGCAGCCAGCAACAATTTGCAGCGGTGTACACACCTGAGACCTCATAAACTTAAGGGGCATGTTTTTGGGGGACCTCACTCTTATGAAGACCGCCGCTTGGATTTGCAATGAAAACATCCTGGGATAAGAGTTTTAATACGGGCTTTTTTTTCTCCAGCTCAGCTTTTAAGTACAAACGTAGTACGCGGAGCGTGCTCCTGCAGCTCCGGCTGGAAAATCGCAACTTTTAAGTACAGACGTAGTATGCGGAGCGTGCTCCCGCGCAACTTTTAAGTACAAACGTAGTACGCGGAGCACACCCCCGCAGCTCCGGCTGGAAAATCGCAATTTTTGTTCTGTACAAAAATAGTATGCAAAGTACATTCCCGCAGCTCCGGCAGCACTTGCGCAGAGCAACTTGCGCAGAGTCACTTGCGCAGAGCAACTTGCGCAGAGCAACTTGCACAGAGCAATTGCACAAAGCACTTGCGCAGAGCAACTTGCACAGACCAACTTGCACAGAGCACATGCGCAAAGCGCTTGCGCGGAGCAACTTGCTCAGAGCACTTGCGCAGAGCAACTTGCACAGAGCACTTGCGCGCAGCAGCGTGCAGCAGCTTGCAGAGAGCAACTTGCGTGCAGCAGCCTGGAACAATGCAGCTTGCGCAGACCACTTTCGTGAGAAATCGCTCGGCGCAGTTCGAGAGGAAAGTAGGATGATGAGATGGAGCTCTCATGTGACCATACACACTGAGCATCGCCGCGCGCAGACACGCTCGCCGCAGCGATGTAAAAAAGGTGTCTCCGCGGCTGGATGAGTGCCTGTGGAAAAATGCTTTCGGGCCAATCGTCCTCTAGTTTTCTTCTGGGGGGGGGCAAACACAAATCCACAATAGAGGACCCCTAACACAGTCACAGGATCCTGAATTAGAAAAACAGTTTCTACACTAGAGGGTACTATTTCTAAAGGAGGGCCACCGCTCTCCGGGCCGCCCAGGGCTTCAAGGCCGTGCAGGTCTCCCCACCCATGGAGCACATCCAGGGCGCGCATCTCGTCCAAGCTCCGGTCCTTTGTGTCAAAGACAAAAAACGGAAGTAGTCTTTGTTGATTCCCCTTGAGCCAATGTGAAAATGGCATCTGGATAACCAACACAAGCAACACTCACATGCTTTTGCTGAGTTCAGGCCTTGAATTGAGAGTTTGTTCAGACTCAGACACTCAGACAGGCACGTTGGTGAAGTTGTTTGCAGAGGCAAAGCTTTGACATGTAGCGATGGGATCCACATCCGTGAGCTAAGTAAGCTCGGACGTGCTTTCAATAAACATGAGGCAAGCATGAGGCTGACGCAGAGCACTCTTTTCTCCTAATAAGCCCCTGGCCGCATTGAGTCAATGCATCCACCCTGTCCTGACCTGTCCTGTCCCTACCACCCTCCCGGCCCAGATCTGGGGTGTGGTTAGCTGGTTGCCGGGTTGCTGGCTTTCTGGGCTTCTCGGGTTGCTCCTTTTTCTGGTTGTCTATCCAATGATACCACGATATCTTACTTTGCCTTATCATAAAGCTTAACCATGTCACATGATAATATGTCATCAGATCATACTACCATTTCATACCACCACTCCACACCATGTCCAAACATGTCTCCAAACATGTCGCATCATTTCATACCATATCGTATTGTATTATTACAACATATCACATCATTCTGTTTCATATAACATCATGTAACGCTGTATCATATCATATAACAGTTATAAGATTTACATTTATCATGTCATTATAATTTATCATCCGGTCACGCCTTTTTCCACGCCTAGTGCGCGAACGACTGACAAACACCTAGAGCTAAACCTAAGAACGCATGACTGCATGATCGCAGCGGGTTGGGCATATGTTCAAAGCACATGCCCCCTCGTCTAGCCAGCGCCAGCTGCTTCAGCCAGCTCAACGTAATAAGGAAACCTCTCTCATAGCACTTTTGAACGCGCGTCTTTCCCAGTTTGCCTTGTTGCCTGCTTCAGGCTTTGGAGTGTCCGGCATGTCATCCGTCTTGCGCAACTTGTAGTAGATGTAATCCTCCGTCTTCCTTGTTCCTTCAATCATGCGAAGCCGCTTGGTCAAGTGATGCTCAGTAACTTCACCGCTGTGCGACATGCAGGGCAGGAACTACAGAAGCCACTGTATAAGCTAAGTAAGCTGCGCAAGCAAAATAGCTGCAGGCAGGAAGGGAAGCGCTACGGGCCTGCTATTCCACAAAGGGAAAAGAAACAGTGGAGACAATTCTGTACTTTTGATGTTGTCATACCACAAATGGAAGAGAAGCAGTGGAGATCCAGATTTTTGCTGGTTGTTTTAGTCATTGTCCATGTCATGGAAAACAGTGACAACTCGTACTTCTGACGCTTGTTGTTTCTGGTGTCACGAAGTGCGTTGAGTGATGTCTGTAATGAGGTTGCATGAGGGGAAAACATGCACCGACATGAGCCATGATGGACTGGTTGGGTGGGTGGGAAAGCGGTTGGGATGGGAGTCCTCCTTTTGGGTTTCCCAGTCCGCCTTTGGTGCCTGGGAGTCCTCCTTTTGGGTTTCCCGGTCCGCCTTTCCATCGCCCCAGTCCGCCTACTGCCGGCAGTCCGCCTTGCAAGCTCTAGTTTGCAAGCCTTGAACACATCCTGGACAAAACTCATACCAGGTAAACCCCCAAAACAATTGGCCGCCCTGGCCAACAAGTTCAAGGTGCTTCCAGATTGGATGGTTTAAAGGGGGAGGGTTGAGCTTGGCTTGAATCGTCTGCAGCTGTTTGGCTTAGACTTCTGACATTCTGACATAGGTCCCTTTCAGCTTGTCAAGATCATGCCTAAGCAATGGCGAACAGGCTCAAAAGAAGCGCCGCAAAGGGCGCAACGTGCTCTCAACTCAAGGGTGGCGACTGCAGACCAAGCGTTGGCTGTTGCAGCTGATGCAGGAAACAAGCACGCGTTGGCTGACGCAGAGTGCCAAAAGTTGCAGGTCAAAGCACGCATCAGAAGAATCAAGCTCCCAAGGCAAAGGGCGCGCTGGCTGCCGCAGCTGGCGCCAAAAGCAACAGGCGTCGCGTGACAATGAAGAAGAAGAGCAAGAAGCAAACACAAAAGAATATTAAAAAAAATGCCATTGGCCAGGCAGATCCTTTGGAAGGGCAGGCGTGGCAAGCGTGGCTTGCTCATGTGAAGAACAAGGGGCCAACATGGCTTTATGTGGCACTGACATGCAGTCATTTGCTTTGCTGTCGCATCACCGAAGTCCTGCGTTTGAAAGCCAAAGACTTTGATTTTGAACACAAGGTTGTTGCCATCTCTTCCCTGAAAGGGCAAGCAGCAATTACAAAGACAATGAGCTGCGCAGCCTTTTCCACCTTCAACCGCTTCAAAGATGAGGGCATCAGTGTGCAACGTGTTCGGGGGTTTGGCTGTAGAGGCAGAATGAATGTTCGGGGCATGAAACAAAATTGTTACAATATCGCGCGGATTGCGTGTGTGTGTGTGTGTGTGTGGCCGTCTGGTAGCGAAGGCCTGCAAGTTCACGCGCCCTGTCGGGGGAAATTGCGCGCTGCCATATTTAAAAGGGTGGCGCAAATTTTGCCAGAATACCTGTGGAGGGATTTTGTTACCTGCCGGGAGATGTTGTTACCAACGTACTTGTGGGGGATTTTGCTACCAAAGTACCTGTAAAGGGGATTTTGTTACCGAAGAACCTGTGAGGGGAGGGGATGCTGTTTACCAAAGTACCTGTGGGGGGAATTTGTCTGTGGAGACTTTGTTACCAAAATACCTGTGGGGGGATTTTGTTACCAAAGAACCTGTGGTGGGATTTTGTTACCAAAGTACCTGTGGGGGGATTTTGTTGCCAAAGTACCTGTGGTGGGATTTTGTTACCAAAGTACCTGTGGGGGGATTTGTTACCAAAATACCCGTGGGTGGGTCAGGGAATCTTGAACTGTTGTGCCCTAAGGCAAACTGTTTCTTGGGTGGATTTGTGGGGTCGCTGCATGGGGCAATGCTGCCCAGCAGCACTTGCGGAGCGCAACCGCTTAACGTCACTGGTGGGGCGCAACCGCTTAAGCGCGATGGGCCACAAAAATCTGAACAGGAAAAAACGTTCCTGGCTGTTCAGATTTTCCGGGCGCAACCCCTTAACACGCGCAACCGCTTAGCCAAATGTCAGCCTTCCTCTGTTCACTTTGACTCAAAAATCCGCGGCAAAAGTAAACACAGTTGCACGTGCCAGCCTGTTTACTTACCCTTGCGGAAATGCAGGTCAAAGTAAACACTTCAGAACGTCCAAGCTTGCCCCTACCCCCAGCTACTTGTTTGCTACATGTTTCATTGCGGGGCCCTAAGGGAGTAGCCTTGAGAAAGGGGCTGTTCAAATAAGGCGCGGAAAGCACAAGACAACTGAACAGTCGTGCACGTGCAAATGTGTTTACTTGCCTCTGCGGATCTGCGGGTTCATCTGAACAAAAACTACAAAAACTCTGATCTGGCTGCTGCTTCTGTCGTTGGATAAGAGGTTGCCAACCCCATGCCATCAATAGTTCGCACAAACACCAGTGCGGCACCTTCCATGAGACAGCTTGCAAACAAAATCATGTGTCAAGCCACTGGAAAATGTAAGCCGATTAGGAATCTGAGGGCTGCCGAGCCCGCTGTACAGCTCAGATTCTGTCAAAAATAACATGTACAGCCTTTTGTTTTCAGACCTAGCTGCGCCGCAATCTGTGACAAGCTCGCTCAAGGCTTGCAGCTGCCACTTGCAGTCTGTGCGGCACAAAACTTGATGAATGTGCGAGCACAGGTCAAGGTGCTCATTCATGAACGCAAAGCTGAAATGCACAAAGCGCTTGATCGAGATTGCCTGGTGGAAAGCCACTGCAGCACCTGCAGCCCCTTTAGACAGAAGGTGTTCCTTTGTGATCATGGAAGCGCCCAGGAGCCCAACTTTAGAGGGGTCAGCAGGGTCTGCAACCACAAATGCGTCAGCGTCAGCCATCTCCGTGACCACCATGCTGTCGATGGGCATGTGAAGGCACTGGCAGCCAACCAAAAACTCCGCCGAGCAGATGCGAAGCGGCAGGCTCTTCACTCGAACAAGCCACCCTTGCAGCCGTCACGCAGGCAACAGGTGTTCGCAGTAGCGCCCCTTACCCGTGAGGAGTGCTGATCTCGTCTGGGCTCAAGTGACCTGCGAGGGCAGCTTCAACCTTTGCAAGTTGCAGCTTCCGCTCCTTGAAGGCAATTTCCTTGCATTGGGCTTCATTCAACTCAGTCCCTGGGTCAGCTGCATCAGCCAGCCCGTGTTGGCCCTTTGATGCAGCAGTTTCCACAATCAATCTAGAAGCCGCCGACACGGTCTGGATGAAACCAGATTCTCCCTGACGCGCCTTACCGCAACACAGCCAACCTACAAGGACCTACAACAACGAAGAATAATAGTGAACTCGATCTTACAAACAACGTGCGCATGCGCGCGCGCTGATGCCAAGCCACCTTCTTTCGTGGAACTCCAGCATCGATGCGAACCGTTTTCCGCTGACGAGGACGGCCAAAGCGCCTCACCCAAACCCGAATTGCAGCAGGGACGAGTTCTTCCTTCAAGCGGGGGGCGGTTTGCAGAACGATCACATTCTCCTCTCTGTCGAGAAACTCATCATTACATTGCCCTCCTCTTAGGGCCGATGTTTTCGAGAAGTTTCTCTCCGCATCGCAGGTGGATGCAACCCATGCCCCGTACCTAATGAGAACAATGGTCAACTCGTCCGCCGTGTTGCCCTTCCGACCTTTGCCAAGTCTGCTGATTGCTTCACGCCAGCTGGCAATGGTAGTGCCCTTGCTTCGAGCATAATGCTCTGCAGCATATGGCTCATGACGAAGAAACTGCTCAATCAATCTTTGCTCACAAATGCCAAAAACCCGGGCTAGGCGTGACAAGCCTTCATTCTGCCCTTCTGACCGCCTTTGGCCATGAAGGTCACTCCTTCCACTGAGGGCGAACACATGGAAGGAATGCAAAATAATCATGCTCAGGATTACCAGCCTGGTAGGCGGACTGGGGCGATGGAAAGGCGCTGGGAAACCCAAAAGGAGGACTCCCAGGCACCAAAGGCGGACTGGCAAACACAAAAGGAGGACTCCCAGGCAGGACTGGGAAACCCAAAAAAGGAGGACTCCCATCCCAACCGCTTTCTCACCTACCCAACCAGTCCATCATGGCTCATGTCGGTGCATGTTTTCCCCTCATGCAACCTCATTACAGACATCACTCAACGCGGTTCGTGACACCAGGAACAACAAGCGTCAGAAGTACGAGTTGTCACTGTTTTCCATGACATGGGCAATGACTAAAACAACCAGCAAAAATCTGGATCTCCACTGCTTCTCTTCCATTTGTGGTATGACAACATCAAAAGTACAGAATTGTCTCCACTGTTTCTTTTCCCTTTGTGGAATAGCAGGCCCGTAGCGCTTCCCTTCCTGCCTGCAGCTATTTTGCTTGCGCAGCTTACTTAGCTTCTACAGTGGCTTCTGTAGTTCCTGCCCTGCATGTCGCACAGCGGTGAAGTTACTGAGCATCACTTGACCAAGCGGCTTCGCATGCTTGAAGGAACAAGCAAGACGGAGGATTACATCTACTACAAGTTGCGCAAGACGGATGACATGCCGGACACTCCAAAGCCTGAAGCAGGCAACAAGGCAAACTGGGAAAGACGCGCGTTCGCTTGGAAAAGTGCTATGAGAGAGGTTTCCTTATTACGTTGAGCTGGCTGAAGCAGCTGGCGCTGCCTAGACGAGGGGGCATGTGCTTTGAACATAGGCCCAACCCGCTGCGATCATGCAGTCATGCGTTCTTAGGTTTAGCTCTAGGTGTTTGTCAGTCGTTCGCGCAGTAGGCGTGGAATGACATGATAAATGTAAATCTTATAACTGTTATATGATATGATACAGTGTTATATGATGTTATATGAAACAAAATGATGTGATATGTTGTAATAATACAATACGATATGGTATGAAATGATGCGACATGTTTGGAGACATGATTGGACATGGTGTGGAGTGGTGGTATGAAATGGCAGTATGATCTGATGACATATTATCATGTGACATGGTTAAGCTTTATGATAAGGCAAAGTAAGATATCGTGGTATCATTGGATAGACAACCAGAAAAAGGAGCAACCCGAGAAGCCCAGAAAGCCAGCAACCTGGCAACCAGCTAACCACACCCCTGAGATGAGGAACGTAGACGAGAAACGTTGCGCGCACAGATGATTTGCCAATTGGTTGCGAGCAGGCTCTCAAAGCTTGAAGCTTTGTTTAGGCCAACTCAGTCGAAACATGTTCAAGACTTTCCCAAGCACGGGAGTGCTTAGTGAGAGAAAGGCTTGGGGAAGCCTGGCTTTCAGACCGATTTGTCAACTTGGGTGTTTCCTACTGCCCAGTGTTCGCAGCGTGAGCCGTTTTGAGAACCTTTTTTTTTTGGAAACGGTTTTGCGGGTTGCGCCTGGCAAGTGTCCAGTGAGCCTCATGGAGTTTTGGTGGTGATGTGAAAACCCAAGAGAGATCTGCCAAGGCAATGGTGGACACGCTACCAACCAGTGACCTACAATCTGTCGGGAACTCAGACAGCACAGTGATGCTAGTTGAATCTTCACATGGACGATGCCGAGTCGGAGTCTTCTTGCGATTTGTTGCGCCAGTCTATAGATGTATTCGTCATTGCTTGAATCACTGGTGTTCATGAAGGATTCGCAGCCACGGCAAAGAGCCGTCACGGATTCGCTTTTCTACTGTTTGAACCTGTGATTAAGCTTGTCGGCTTTGAACGACTTCGTCGTTTTCCGTTTCCGGCTGCAAGTTCTGTTCTCGCATCAGGACTAGCCGCTCTGGCAACGAGCAGGACCGCTCATGGGTTTCCATTGCCTGGTTGCTTGATCAGTCCACCGAAGCTTTGCCTGAAGTCCTCCAGCGCATTTGAAATGGCAGATCCGGAATTGCAGCAAGGGTGGTGCATCAAGCTCCTGTACGTTGAGATTATGCTGTCGAATTAAACGGCTGTTCATCCAGATTCCTTTGAGTTTTTCAGAATGTTTGCTACACCCATTGTTTGATCAGGCGGGGCTTCTGGACGGGCTTTCTTTCGCTAGCAGGAGTTCAAAGATATGGTTAGCCGCTGCAAGAAGTTTGGCGTGGATGTCATCGTGGATGCAGTCATCAACCACATTGCCGCAGGCCAACAGCATGGCCAAAAAATAACATGTTCCGCTTAAAGCTCTCATTGGCAGCCTGCTACAGGGCGCTTCAGCATGTTGCAGCATGTTGCGTCATAGAATGAACGCAGTATGCGGCCATGAGGCGGAACATGTCCATGAGTATGTCAGGCCACGCAGTGCACACACACATACACATGGGCTAAACACAGTTCCGCGGTCACTCACATTTTCCAACTTGGGGGGGCTTAGCACTGCAACCTGGGATTTAGGTGGCGGTACTGGCACTGCGGGCAGCTCCTACGGTGGCCGCGCCACTGCCCCGTGGCAACCGAGTTCCCTTTTTGGCGTTGGACACGATGGACCACAGGGATCTCTGATGCTTGGGTTACAGGAAGGTGTGTCCACCTTTCGGTGGGAAGTGCCAGAGGGATCTGAGGACTGCCGCCTAACTTAGAGCCCTTATTGACATTCTTGACTTGCACACCCCTGCCCGCTCCAGCTTCTTCCACAACCCACGCCCTCATGTCCCCACACCCTTGAGAAGCCAACCCACCGCCACACCCCACCCGACCCAACTCCCTAACCCACCTACCTGCCCGGCCGCCCGCCTGCCTGCCTCCGGGCAAAATATTGACAGGTGGAGGCAAGTCTTGCCCACTAAGCTGCGCTGCAGGCAATCTTCTCCGCCGATGAGATGCACCACGCCGACGGCGACTCAAGCAAAAACTGTGATGTGGAGAACTACCAGGACAAGCACAACGTGCAGTGCCCTGGCCAATGACCTGCCCGGTCTTGGGCAACTCTGACAGATGGGGATATGAATGCATGTCACGTCCCACAGAAGCTGAGCGCTCCTCCACGCTGCTTCCAGGTACTGCGATCTGGTGGGCTTGCCTGACCTTTGCACTTCATGCTCCAGCGTGCAGAAGAAAGTGGCGCAGTACCTGTCGAACCTGATTGAGCAGCCTTGCGCAATGAGCCAAATTTCAGGTAGGTTGAAGTCAGCGGATCAACCTGATTCAGCCACAATGTGTCTATGCATGTGTTTATGTTTTATCATCATACACATGCACTACACGCAAAGAAAGTACAAATTGCACTTGCATATGCATATGCATGTAGATCAGGGCATCATGTTTCCTGCGTTTTAGTTGCTTGCCTTCACCCGTCTGGCCAGAGCAGAAGCGGCTGTTGTGTTTGATCAGGATGGGCGTGGCTGGCTTCCGCATCGACGCAGCGAAGCACCAAGATGCAGGCCGGAGTTTCTGGGCCGCGCGACGCAGGGGGAGAAAGCTAGGAAGCTTATCGCTTGAGAATCTAGGGCCTGCGCGCTGTTGAAAGAACATTTGGCATTGGGCTTGTAATCAGCTCAGCGCCACCGATTGCAAGCGTGCGTTGAAACGAGTGATTTGTTGGGTAGATTTGCCTGAGGCGAGCTCAAAGCTCTTCTGCAGCAGACCACCGGCGGCATCCCTTGGGTCTTCCAAGAAGTCATCGAGGCGGGTGCCTCCACCTTGGAATGTTCAGCTGTTTCTGGGGCCAATGTTCGGCCTCCGATTGCGGCCAGGGTGGCAACGAGGCGGTCACACCGCAGATGTACCAAGACATTGGCAAGGCCGGGGCCGGGACCGGGCGACTCGGTGAGTCCATTGCCTAGTTCAAGCTTGAGCCATTGAGGTATTGGTATGTTTGCCTAGCGTTCTGTGACAAAGACAAGCTGAGACTGGGCAACTTGTCCTTCTTGCAAAACACCTTGCCCTGAATCACGGCAGGTAGCTCTATAGGTGAGCTGGCTGTTTGTTTTTGCCATACACTTGTCAATTTGGGCTGGTGTACTGCCTGGATTTTCAACATTGGACATAATTACTGTATTTCAATGCTGTGTTTTCCATCTCAACGACTCGGACGTGTACTGGTGAGCTGTTTGTGATTGCTGGCGTCGGTTTCTTCAGACGCCGCAGGTTACCGAGTTCAATTACGCCCGCCAGCTGTCCCCGAACTTCCTTAGCGAGGGCAAGCTCAAGCAACCAGGCTGCATAACTGCATCGGCTGGTTGCACAGCTGCGCAGATGGGTGAAAGTTCTCGCAAATCGCTTTGGGTGCGGCTGGAAACTCTCGTATTTGTCCCGAGGTATTTGGACACCTTGGGAGAGAAGTGGGGCCTGATTGGCAGCGACAGTGCCGTGGTGTTCTTGGACAACCATGACACACAACGCGGAGAAGCGCAGCTGACATACAAGTCCGGCAGCATCTACACGCTTGCGAATGACTCCTGGCAAGGAAGTCTTTGTCGGCTATGTAGCTCGCTTGAGGTAACAGTGCCATTTGATCAGCTTAACTTGGGACTGAAGGGGCAGTTTTTAAGCCACAACATTGCACGTGGTCAGGTCCAGAGGCTCCCGCAGCATGAAGCTAATAAGCTTGGCTGTTGTGGGGGGGGGTCCGGTTTGGTGGCTATGAGGTCTACATGCTGGCATTCCCCTACGGCTACCCCAAGGCATGGCTGAAATCGGATTGGCCGGTTGCCAATCAAGCTGGTCGGTCAGTCAGTTTGGCAGAAGGATATCCCTTCTGATCTACAACCTGGTTTGGTTTCGTCGGGCTGCCCGAAAAGCCCCACGACCTCCACCGTTCTCCGTCGAAACCACGGTCAATGGCAACGAGGCATGTTGACCTCGTTTGCAACTGCTTCAATCCAGAGATGCCCTTGGCTGAACAGGGGAAAGTCGAAGCGGTTTGGAGGTGATGAGCTCCTACTACTTTGACGGCCACGACCAGGGCCCGCCCGGCCAAGCTGTGCATGGCTCAGGCGTCGCTTGGATTTGGCTCAGCCGGAGACGACCAGCAACAAACAAGGGAACCATTTCACCAGCCGCGCCCCCATGGATGAAACTGTTTCATCAAATGCTCAGCAGAGCTATGATTTTGTCGCCAAAGCGGTAGCATTCATTCCAAAGGAATCACGGAGGCCAAGCATGGTTTGCCCGGCAGAGCCAACTTTGCCTTTCTGAGATCCCTAAACATGAGTTGGGCTTGTGGCTTTGTGCGAGGCCGCGGCGAGGTGCTCTCCACTTCAATCGATTTTTCTCCTTCCCTTTTTTGGCAAGGCCCTGTCTCGCACCTTGCTCCCTTTCCGTTGCTAGACGTCTTGAAGCCGAAATGCTGCCAGGATACCTCACAGAAGGAGAAGGATTCAAGGTCAATGCCCTTACCCGGTTACCCGGCCAGGCCTTGCCTGCGGAGATGGCCAGCCCTGGGTCTGCGAGCATCGGCGCCCAGAGATTGCCAACATGGTCGCCTGGAGGCACCGCACTGAGGTAGCCGGCATCGCCAAAGCCCAAAAGAGTTGGCTTAGATTCCAGGGTTCGTGCAGTTGTCAAAATGCTGAGGGACAAAGCCAAGTAAGTTGCGACGAGCGCACTGCCAACAGCCGAGTTACGGGCCCCAGGATGACCAGACGCCGTAGGAAAGCTTTTGGCCCGACCACCTGAATTGATGGCAGTTCCCCCCGTGGTTTCCGTCGACTGTTGCACGAACGAACCCCGAGGGAGGGCCAGGAGCGCTTTCTATCATGGCAATGCTTGGTTATGTTGCTGCTTTGGAGCAGGTGATTTGTTTGTCGTAGGTTGTAAGCCTTAGCTGTGCATGGATGGGCCGCCATGTTTGGCTTGGACTACAAGTCTCGAATATGCCCAAACTCGGTTCCTTGGCCTTCGGCACCAATCTGTGCATAAATATGAACATAGTAAGTTTAACAAATGAGGCATTACAACATTATATATATATATAGGAACAATTTTTAATATAAATATGTATTGGCCATGTTGTAGGGCATGTCATGATGATTTATCACTTGGGACATGTTGTTATGCAGAATCAATGCTTTCTTTGGACAGTGGTGCGAATGAATTGGGCAGGCTCGCTTGCAAGTGACCAGCTGGCAAGGCCCAGCCATTGTCATGTTTCAAGATCGGCGGCAGGCGTTCTGCTGCGTCTGCAGGGCTGCAGGGCTTCACTGCAACGGATGATGGGAAGCCCGGCTGAGGGGGCCTGGTCACCGCTGAGCTCGCCCCAAACTTGGCAGGGCGCTGGCAGATTTTCAGAAATGTGCACTTGCTTTTGGTTAACTATATAGGAGACTCATGGCCCTATGTTCTTGCTGCGCATGGGCGACACAAGGTGATTGCCAGAGAACAAATCCATGCCAACTGGGCAAATGAAGTCGCGACCACGCCGACAGGGGAATTGCAACAAGGCCAGCCCGTTCCTTCCTTGGCCATTTCCTTCCTCAATGTCAAAACAGCCACAGACATTCTGGCACTGGCATTTTGTGCGATGGCACAGTTTCAACTTAGAGTCAGAGTCTGAAGCAGTTGTGACATTGTGCCGGCGCTTGTTTAGGCGTCGCTAGCCGAGGAACAGCGTGTTCTTTTGCCGTGGCTCTGCGGCTTGCGTAGCTCTGAACCGTTGCTTGGCAATGCGCTGAGCACTGCTGATTTGCATTGCAGATGTTTGGCACAGGCCAAGACAACAAATGTTCCATCAAGAGTCACTCTTCAATTTGGCCTGGGGACAAATGTATAGACCTGGGCAGCGAGGGACGGCGAGGGACTGTTCAATCTTCCAGCTTTTTCAGCTCCAGCTCAGGTGGCCAAGGAAGCTGGAAGACCACTGTGAAGACCACCCTCCCCGCAGGCAGAAGTGCTCCACATTTTTTAGGTATGTGGCCCTTTAACCACAGTGTTCTGAAGCTTCCCAAACTGGCGGCAGCTGTGAGGACCTTTAGCGAGTTTCACGTCTCGCATTCTTGGCCCATTCAAGAGAAAGTACCGACTCAAATGTGCCTTTCACGACTGTGCCACCAAGCACTTTACCCGTGAAACTGACAACTAGTCGGAACGGCCCAACGGCCGAACGCATCTATCGCCGATGCTTTCTTTTCTATAGAATCTCAACTCTCCTAGCTTACTTGTGACTTCCACCCTTGGTGATCAAGTTCCATGTGCCGTTCCCGACACTGTCAGACAAGTGACTGCAGGTGTTTGTGCCATTTGCAGTCATCGGTGTGCCTTGAGGGCGGTACTATGATGTCATGCGCGCCAGCGATGTGACTGCGTGCCCTGTGGTGACCGTGAACCAAGATGGCCGCTTGTTTGAGTCCTAGTTGGACGGGATGTTGGCAGGAGCACTGGTGCGTGTTTATTTTCTTGCTATTCAGAAGGCAAGTTCGAGTAGATGTTGCCTTCAGCAAACTAGCGGACTGCTGTTGCTTGGGCGTCCTTCCGTTTGGCCAGCGGCTCCATTGTCGTTGCTGTTGCGATGGTGGATGGCAAGCCTTGCTGGGATCGAAAAACCAAGAAGCTGGAAGGGCTGGAGGCATCGCCACAATTTCGGACCTGCCACAATGCTTCAGGTCATGTAGCCAGGGTTGGCCCAGCCAGGCATGCACGCCAGTGCTTGCATTCGTTCTTTTTTTCTTCTTGCGCCGCCAAGGTACAGCAGATATTGAGGTGCCATCATTGAGTGCCTTGGCAGCAAAAGACGAGTTGTGGATGCTTTCTTACTAGGGACACCATTCAAGCTGACCCTTTGTTTGCAAGGGGGCTGCGTCGGACCTTTGAAGCGCACAACTCCCTGTCAGCAACGACACCTTCAATCATGCGCGTCCGGCATATTGATGATTGCAAGGATTCGGCTGGGCATGGAAAGGACTGTGGGACCCACAACTTTTTGTTCTTCTGGGGACCAGTGAGGGGTCAGCTGTTTGTCACCCTTCGAAGGTGCTGTGGCATTCCACACTGGAGCAGTTCCCAGCTCGTGCCTTCGCCGCACACGCTTGCTCGATTGCCACAGTGTGACAATCGGTGCATGGTGTGACAATCGGTGCATGGTGTGACAATCGGTGCCAGCTCCAAGACTTGGAGTATGTTGCGTGGCCATACGACACAGGGCCGGAGAATGAAGTCGGATGTGCTGTGGCATACGGGGTGCGTCTCCAATCCGCAACCATGGGAAGAGAAGGCTTAGGGGTAGGGCAGCCAGCGTGTGGCCAAATGTCCCATGCATCCGGACATTAGACTCATTGATTAGAAGGGCATGAGGCCTGCTTTCGCTGCATGTGATGTGTTCTCGCATGGATGCAATGACCTTTCTGACCCCTTTTCCGATCCAGCCGTAAGCTATTTCCCGGGGTGGACTTGGTTAAGGCAAGCGCAGTCCAGATATCTTGGCGTTCAATTGCCTGCTGCAGCGAAATCAAGAACATCCCAAGGTGTTACCAATGAGTAATCACCAAATTGCGGGGGGTGGGGGGGTGGGAGTGTCCCTTTCTGATGTTTCCCCAGTGGTTTAGGTTTCCTGGAGCCGCCCAGGTCTGTCAAGCAGATCATCGTTTGAGCTGAGAAGGCCGAAGGCCGTAGCACCCGAAGCTGCCAACCTTGGCGCGCGAGACGCGCAGCTCAAGCTCAGGCGCGCATTTGGTTGATAGCTTGGTGTTGTGTGTGTTTGTGTCTCTGTCTCTGTGTCTGTGTCTTTGTGTGTCTTTGTGTGTCTCTGTGTCATTGTCTCTCTGTCTCTTTGTGCCTCTGTGTCTCTGTGTCTCTGTGTCTCTGTGTCGGTGTGTTTCTGTGGCTGTTTGTTTGTGTCCTTCCGTGTGTGTTCGTGTTTCTGTCTCTGTCTCTCTGTGTTTCTGTTTGTCTCTGTCTTTGTCTCTCTCTCTCTCTCTCTTTCTCTCCGTGTCTCTGTGTCTCGCTGTGTCTCTGTGTCTCTCTCTGTGTTTGTGTCTCTTTGTGTCTGTGTTTGTCTTTGTCTCTTCGTGTCTCTGCGACTCTGTGTTTGTCTGTCTCTGTGTTTGTGTGTGTCTCCGTGTCTCCGTGTCTCTCTGTGTCTGTGTGTCTCTGTCTATCTCTGTCTCTCTGTGTTTGTGTGTCTCTGCGCCTCTGTGCCTCTGTGTCTCCGTGTCTCTGTCTCTCTCTATCTCTCTGTCTCTCCGTCTCTGTCTCTTTGTCTCTGTGTCTCTGTGTCTCTGTGTCTCTGTGTCTGTGTGTCGGTGTGTCGGTGTGTCTTTGTCTCTCTGTGTCTTTGTCTCTCTTTGTCTCTCTTTGTCTCTCTTTGTCTCTGTCTGTCTGCGTCTCTGTGTCTGTGTCCCTGTGCCTGTGTATCTCTGTATGCCTCTGTCTCTTTGTGTGTCTGTGTTTGTGTATCTCTGTCTCTTTGTGTTTCTGCGTCTTTGTCTGTGTGTCTCTGTGTCTCTGTGTCTCTGTCCTCTGTGTCTTTGTGAATGTGTGTCTGTGTGTCTGTCTGTCTGTCTGTCTGTCTGTCTGTCTGTCTGTCTGTCTGTCTGTCTGTCTGTCTGTCTGTCTGTCTGTCGGGCTGTCGGTCTGTCGGTCTGTCTGTCGGTCTGTCGGTCTGTCGGTCTGTCGGTCTGTCGGTCTGTCTGTGTGTGTGTGTGTGCCTGTGTGCCTGCGAGCGTGGGTGGGTGGGTGGGTGGGTGGGTGCGTGCGTGCGTGCGTGCGTGCTTGGGTGGGTGGGTGGGTGCGTGCGTGCGTGCGTGCTTGGGTGGGTGGGTGGGTGCGTGGGTGGGTGCGCGGGTGCGCGGGTGCACGGGTGCGCAGGTGCGCGGGTGCGCGGGGCGGAGTGCGCGCGCGTGCGCGTGCGCGTAGCGCGTGCCCGTGCGCGCGCGCGTGCGCGTGCGCGTGTGTGCGCGTGCGTGTGTGCGTGTGCGTGTGTGTGTGTGTGTGTGTGTGTGTGTGTGTGTGTGTGGGTGTGTGTGTGTGTTTGTGTGTGTGTGTCTGTCTGTGTGTCTGTCTGTGTGTCTGTCTGTGTCTGTCTGTGTGTCTGTGTGTCTGTCTGTGTGCGTCTGTGCGTCTGTGTGTCTGTGTGTCTGTCTGTGTGTCTGTCTGTGTGTCTGTCTGTGTGTCTGTCTGTGTGTCTGTGTGTCTGTGTGTCTGTGTGTCTGTGTGTCTGTGTGTCTGTGTGTCTGTGTGTCTGTGCGTCTGTGCGTCTGTGCGTCTGTGCGTCTGTGCGTCTGTGCGTCTGTGTGTCTGTGTGTCTGCGTGTCTCTGTGTCTGCGTGTCTCTGTGTCTGTCTGTCTGTGTGTCTGTGTGTCTGTGTGTCTGTGTGTCTGTGTGTCTGTGTGTCTGGGTGTCTGGGTCTCTGGGTGTCTGGGTCTCTGGGTCTCTGGGTCTCTGGGTCTGCGTCTGCGTCTGGGTCTGTGTCGGTGTCTGTGTCTGTGTCTGGGTCTGCGTCTTCGTCTGTGTCTGTGTCTCTGTCTCTGTGTCTGTCTCTGTCTCTGTCTCTGTCTCTGTCTGTGTGTGTCTGTGTCTGTGTCTGTGTCTGTGTCTGTGTCGTCTGCGTCTGCGTCTGCGTTTGTGTCTGCGTCTGTGTCGGTGTCTGTGTCTGTGTCTGTGTCTGCGTCTTCGTCTGTGTCTGTGTCTCTGTCTCTGTCTCTGTCTCTGTCTCTGTCTGTGTGTGTGTATGTGTTTGTGTCTGTGTCTGCGTCTGCGTCTGCGTCTGCGTCTGCGTCTGTGTCTGTGTCTGTGTCGGTGTCTGTGTCTGTGTCTGGGTCTGTGTCTGTGTCTGTGTGTTTGTTTTTGTGCGAGTGTGGGCGTGGTGTGCTTGTATGCGCGTAGCATCATTCTGCGTGGCACTATTGGTTGTGTTATGTTGCTACATCTTTGACTGGCAATGCTATTGCTTGGGGGTTTGGGCTCGGCAGTTTGAGATGCTTGCTTCTAGGCAGTTTCAACAAGTGTCAAGTCAAACAAGCAGTCCAGGCACCCTTCTCCGTAGGCCGAAGGCTGTGTGATGCAATCGTTGCTTCTGTATGTTTAGTTCAACCGGTTGCGGCTCCACACTGGCACCCAAGTGGGCACATTCCGACTGCTGAGCTGGAGCCTGAAAAAGCCTGCTCAAATCTACAGAATCCTTCGCCGCCGCACCCCCAAGCTACTACCCAGCTGCATTCCGACTTGCCGCAGGCCTTCCAGCGGTCTGCGGGCAGCGGCACTTGGCCATTGCTTGCAGTTTCCATCCGCCAGAGGCGTTGCCCGGCTGTTTGAATGGCCGTAAGGCACACCTACCCGTCACAGCAAGGCACGGCACCAATGAACCCCCTGAAGCATGTCCAATGTGCGGGAACTCAAAAGGCAATTCAGCTGGGCAGCCGCACCCGTCAACGACGGCGTCTAATTTACTAACCATTTGCTCATTTCCGTTAGGGGGAACACGTGAGCGCGGAGACTCAGCTCTTGGACCAAGAGCAGACGTGTCTGCATCATTTTGCATCGTTTTGCACTTTTCTTTTAGATTTGGCGTTGCTTGCGCTGCAGATGCCTCAGGGCAAGTGGCCTGCAGGAATCCATGCAGGCGTTTCGAGCTGGCACATGAAAGTTTTGCTCAATGCAGTTGGCCGTGGAAGCAAGTTGGGCGAGCCTTTGAAGCGCAGCTCGGAACATTTACAGAACGCCTTGATACGCCTTGCAAATGGCTCAGCATGCGCGGGACAGTCAAAGATCAGTCGGCCCCGGCATCGGTTCATGGTTGGATGCCGCATATCTGCCGGTCCCCCGAAGCTGGGATCATTGCCCAAATCACTTTAGCGTTGACTGGGATCTTGCGGGATCTTGCAAGCTCGAAAAAGGGAGACATTTTCCCGGGCTTGAGGTCCGAGTTGTCATTGCTAATCTGCCGACCTTGGGCAATAACTCTTGTTTCTTGCCCCTCAAGTCGTGCTTGTTGTTTTCATTTGTGGTTCAGCTTCCCTCCTGGCGGTTTGCATTGTTGGTTTGGAGGTTAGGTTTTCCATCTACCCTCAAGAAGGGGTTCAACCCAACCAATCAGGGTGGGGTGATCGCTTCCCTTTCGTATCCCTTCACAACCAAAAGTTTCGGGGTACAAAAAGAAGGCCAAAACGGACATACCCTTTTGGTTCTTCGTGGCTGTGCCTTTTTTGAGGGTACGCCTTTTTCGGTGCTACCGCCCCATCCTTACAGGAAAGCAAAGAAGTGAAGCAAGAACTTGGGGTTGGTGTCCCTTTAAGACCTTTACAGGACACTATTTTTGGCTGGGCGCACCCCAGTTTTGAACCAACCCCTTGCTCACGTCGCATCGCCAGGCCCTGAGCTCCACGGCCGAGGAGCTGGCGGCCCGAGCAGCAAGGCTGAAGCGCCCAGCGGCCCAGCGGCCGAGTCGCCGAGTCCCTGTGCCCTCATGGCTGGGTCTATTTTTTGCAGGGAAAATGAAGGAAAACTGCGGGGAAATCAGCGGTAAACAGGGACAACCCACCCAGGCTAACATCTTGGGTGATAAACCGCACAGAAATTTTGATTTGCCCAAAGGAAACCGACAGGGGACGATCAATTAGTTTCTAGTTTTGCCAGACCCCTATTCAGCACCGACTTGGCGCTTCAGTGTTTGAATTTGTTTCAATTGGTCAGTTGCTGAATCACGCCGACCCTCATTCCGCCCAATATCTTATTTTCATAAGAGCGGAAAAAAGATGGCCAGCCATAAATGCAGGTTGCATTCCAGAAAGCTTCCGTGGATGAAAGATTGATATGATCATTGCTTTTGTTGGAGAACATGCGCTCACGCGAGCTTCTGCTCGAAGTTGGCTTTCGAGGCTTCCGCAGCCAGTGTCAGCAACTTCTGCGCTTGTCCGGGGCTTGAAAAAGTTGCTCAGAGAGGCCAAGGGCCAGTCAGTTCTATTTACTCCGGGTGCCTCAGTTGCTCCAATGGGCAGCTAGACATGTGGACCCTTGTTGAGGGGGGTACATGACACGTCCGGAGACAAACGTAAGACGGAAATGATGGCCCCATTCCTCAGACACCATCATTTGTTGTTGTATCATTATCATTGCTCACTATACTATTTTGTTTCGCCTCGCTGATTTGTGTGTCGTTGTATTTTATCTATGTGTCTCCGTGTCGAAAAATGTCGGTGCCCGCATTTGTGTGCATTGGTCCAATTGACTGATATTGTTGCATGGGGTTGCCTAAGCTCATCCACGGGCTCCTGGATTCTCAACGTGTTTGTCCAAGCCGTTAGTTTTGCTTCACATTGTTGCAAAACAAACTGGTGTACACGACGAGCTCACTCTGAGATGTATAGCTTTTGTTGTCACTGATGCTTGGTGGATACCAGGTTTCGATTGTGACTCAAGTATTTCTGTCTAGTGCTTCCTTGGGACGACTCCTGCAAAGTCATGGGACATGCGTTCAACGCATACCCAATCGACATATCCGAGCCCAGTTTCAGTTAGCCTCTTTCCATTTAGTTAGCCTTTTTCCGTGCATCCCAGCTAGATGTTCATACAATTCAGCAGCCAGGACCCTATACAGTCCGCGCTTAGCATCGCTAGTGCCTACGTGACTTTTTGAAGGACCCTCCACATGTT